GTTTCCAATGCATTCCTATGGAAAATGGTGTTTCGCATAACGATGTTTCACATAACGTTTTTTTTAACCAATTAAAATCGTTATGCGAGGCACCACTGTAATTAATTTTTATTAGAAAAATAGAGTTTCATGGAATCAGTTTATATTGCTCAAGCTTTACCATAAAGAACATACTCAAAGATTATTACAGTTAAATAAAATAACTAAAATTTAAAAAACACTACTAAGCTGGGCTAACGTGGACTAGCCCCACCACCTTCTTTCTCTTTACTCACATTCTCTCTCCTTCAAACCACATGCTCAAACCATCAAGTTCTTTTTCTCTCCCATCATCATGGAATCGAAATTCTCCCACATAACCCATCATCCATTTTCTATATTCTCTAACTCCTCCCTTCTTCTTGACACTTCATGGCTGTTAACCAGTTAGTCTCAAGGGGTTGTAACACCTTCCTCCGCCCTCAATTCTCATGAAAATTCAGGTGTTTTATCTCTTCTCCAATTAGCTCGGAATGTTGAGTCTTTCATGGGCCTCTTTGCCCAACCTTCAGCTTTATCTCGAACCAAGCTGTACCAGTCTTCAGAAGAACACTCTCATAGCACTTAGAAAAATACATTCCAATGTCTCTCAAATCATCTTCACACTGAACCTGCCTAACTCCATCTTACATTTCTCTGACTACATATTGCACACTGCTTCAACTCCATCACAACACTCATATTGATTGGTACGTAGTTTGCAGATTGATCAGTTCTTTAAAAGTGCAAAATGTCATGCACATCAAGGCACATCAGTCCTGCTTTAAAATTAATCTCCACTGATCTATTAAATGGCCTGTGTAAATAGTTCTTAGAGTGTATATGACGCAATAAAAATGTCAGACTCAAATGTTAAGCCAGGTCCAAATTGCTCCGCTTCACATGCTACTTGCTTGTAATTTTTACATTGTGAATTAAGCCTCATAATAACTTCACTCAGTCTAGAGAACTTTTTTATTAGCTAGTCAAGCTAAACACATTCATTCCTTAGTGATAGGACCAGAGGTCTTCAGTATAAAATTTCTTCCTGCTTCAATGATCATCCTGATGCCACCTGATCTGGAGGGTGAAAGAACAGACACAATGTAGCCTAATGTGGCAGGTGTCTGTGTTGCTAGATTTGATGGATTAGTTGTTATTCATGTCAGAGAGAGATAAATGTTTCACAGGATAAAGATATTTAAAATATTTTCTTTAATAAACAAGTAGAGTAGTATTATCCAAGGTAGCAAGGAAATCAGGACCCTCAAGATCTGGCCTGCTATCACTACTTTACCAGACTAGACTGGAATATGTTTTAGTCTATTACCTCTAACCAGCTCATAACCATGTTTAAGCATTCATTCAGGCACTTAACCATTCTCCCCATTTGTTGAAATGAAAAGTAATGTCAGGTACCATCAGCCTGTTGATGACTCTGCACTCAGAGCAAACAATGTTTTCTGCTTCCATCAACTTCAGGTCATACAGAAGTGTTTGATTGTCCATTATTTCAAGTATTTATTACTTTTCTACCAAACACAACTGTTTACTTGCATATTGGCTGCAGTACCCTACAATATTAACTGCCTCGTCTTCAGACTGCCTGGTACTGCCTGGACTGCATTTTCCCTGCCTTCCCTGAACCTTTCTTGACCTAAGAAAATAAAGAAACAAAATATCCCCCTCTAGTGGTCGTAGGCAGAATAGCAGCTTCCCATTAGTTTCTATGGACGGAAAAGAGCAGATACGGATCAAATGGTTTTCAATGCATTCCTATGGGAAATGCAGATTTGACTTGAGAACTTTTTGACTTGAGAACCGTCTTCCAATACGGATTAAGTTCTCAAGTCAAGACCCCACTGTAAAGAACTTTTGGAGCTGAGAAGTTTGATTCTTAAGTGTCCTGTTTCTAATGACTATTTGAGTTGTCATCCATTTTTGAATGAGGAAACAACTATATTCATACTGAGCAGAACGATTTTATAGTAGGCATGTGTGCAGTGGTATCTGGAGGGCCACTTGTATTTTATCAATTTCATACAGGTACGGTACTTAGATGTACATATTGAACATATACCCCTGCATTCATGTGTACTTCCTTTTTCTGTTTCATGTGTATTGATTACCTGAGAGGTCTCTGTTGGGAATTAACATGTTGTTGCTGCTTAAAAATGAGGTTCCTCTTACCCCTGTGGGTAGGAGGGCATAACTAGAAATGACACTAGGCTGCCTGCAGGTATAATCAATGGAAAGATTTGTATAAATCACAGCAGATAAACAGGAAATGATATCTGTGAAATGAAAGAACAGTATAAAATAAATAAAAGAAAAATCAATGAATTTCTAACACAGTACAATGCAATAATGAAATGAAAAGTGAAAAGCAGAACAACTTATATTAAAAGTATCAGATGAAATTACAGTTATGCAAAATCAGCCACAGTTGGCCCTTTACGAAGCCCTGTATTTACCCCTAACCTTCCACCAGTCCTCTAGCTGAAGCTCACTATGTTCCAGCTGTTTGGCCTAAAGATTGAGAAAGAAAAACGTATAGCTACCCAATCCAAGGAGTAGGTTCCTGAAGATTCAAGGAAATATTCATGAAGCTTGATCCAGATGGGGAAATCAGAAGGAAAAATGTAAAATAGAGTAGTGAAATCAGAGGGGGGGGGAAACAAGTGAGTTGTAGAATCTCCCAGAAGGATTAGTCTTTGTAGAAACTGAAGCTTGTCTCAAAATCAAGGCAAGCAAAGTCCTAAAGACCCAGATCAGTCAAAATCTGCAAAAGTAACATTACATGAGGAAAAGTGAACTGAGAAGCATGTGCATGTCAGTATGAAAGAATGTGATGCTGAGTCTGGGTCCCAAGTAACAATTGTTTCTTGCTCCACTAATGCCACTAATTCTCTTGCATTCTGGCTGGCTTCTTTACCTTCTCTAAAAGTCAGTGTTTTTGTAGATGGCAAACCTGGGAGAAAAAGTGCATTGCACCACTTTTATTTATTCCCAGAAAGTAAATCACCCCTTTGTCCTGTGGTACATGATGTGACCAAAGTGTCTTATCAGGGTACACTCTGGGGCTGGTGTTCGATATTGTAGACAGTCCATACTTTTCCATTGTCTTCCAGCTGAGCCAGAGCCTTGTTGCCACAGCAATCATGTATCAGTCTTTCTTTGCTCATTCCATCATGAAAAGGTCCAAGCTGGAATGAATCTTCAGCCCTTTTTGCCAGCAGGAAACAGTCATTTGTGCTGTGTATGAAGCAAACCAAATATTTCCTCAATGCCATTCCATAGGCAGGCTATTCCACAGGTCAGGTCAGTCCCTATGTCTACAGGTCTTGTGTCTAGTGTACTCTTGTACCATAAATGTAGGGCCTGGTTAGCTCTGCTGCTGATGATGATGATGATGATGTTTTAATAGTTCTATGTGATTAATTTTAGTCACTTAAGAGTTTTATTTAAAACATATTGATGATAGTTTCAAAATGCGTGACTGTTCAACTGCATTACCCCATTTTACTTTTTTTAAGATCTTACATTTCTGCCAAAAGTGCTGTTTAGCATATATTTCAGTGACACTAGTTGGTTGTTTTTCTTCTATAGGTGTCTGGTCCAGAAGGATCATTAAAGGATGGTGCCAAGAATGCTCTACAAAAAAGCTTCAGGGTTCTTAATGATGCCAACAGGCAGGCAAATGATGTTAAAGGTATGTATTTTCCTTTCCCTGAGATAATTGGGTTTCATTCAAAAGCTAATGAGGAACACTGTGGTCTTCATGCACAGCCACCTCTTATTGTTTTTATTTATAATTCTGTCTCCATATGCATCACTTGATTCCAGTATGAACTGCATACACGCTAAAGCACAGTATCATATTTATAGGTTCAAGTTACATTTTCTCAGCTTCTCTTTCATATCTACAGAAAAAGCATGCAAATATGTTTTTATTCAGGCAGACTTTGAGCAACTGACTGGATGCTGAAGAAGGAAATTTTAAAAGAGAAGTCCTGGAGTTTAATTCTGATGTGCTTTAAATTTTCTTTTAATGTTTATGTTCAAACATTACAATATTAGTGTTTTAGTATTTATTGTACAATGAAACGTAGTTTTAGTTGTATCTTGCTGCTTCAGATCTCATTATTGAGAAAAAGGATATAAATTAAATTAAATGTACAGTGTTGCCTCGCTTGACAATGTTAATTCATTCCAGCGAAATCGCTGTAGAGCAAAAACATCGTCAAGCGAAATAAATAAACCCATTGAAACCCATTGAAAACCAGTTCAATGCATTCCAATGGGCTAAATACCTGCTCGTCCAGTGAAGATCCTCCATACGGCAGCCATTTTCGGTGCCTGTATAGCGAGGAATCCATCCTAGAAAACAGCAGGGGGTCATTTTGAAAGCCATTGGCCATTTTGAAACCCGACGATCAGCTGCTTGCTGATCATCATAAAGCAAAAAATCAGTTCCTGAAACAGGGAACCGATCAACATGAAGCAAAAAAAACCCAATCTAAACATCGTTTTGGAATCGCTTTTGCAATCGCAAAACTTCAACGTTAAGCGGATTCATTGTTAAGCAGGGTAATCATCCAGCGGGGCACGAATGTAAATGTATTTGTCTGTTTGTTAGACTTATACATGGCTCCTTTAGTGTGATGCACTACTCTGGGCGGTTTACAGCAATAGTCAGTGACACATACAATAAAATTCTACTTCATACAAACAGTTAAAATATTAAGCAAATAAAAACAAATGTCATCAATAAATTCTCAATAAAACGATGGTTACAGAGGCATAAATCATGTAGGGTTGGTGTGGAAGGCCTCCCTGAAAAGCAGTGTTTTAAGTTTTCTTCTGAATTTTAACAGGGAGGGGAGCTAGTTCCACAATCTGATAAATATTGACCAATAAAAAAGCAGCCATGTTCACTTGTAAGCCATATTGTCCTTAAATACCAATTAATTTATTATAATATCAGATTAAGAGACTGGAGTCATCATCATCATCAGATAAAATGGAGTGCTCAGTTTGTCAAAAATATTGGCAAAATTAAACAGTAAGGCCACATAGCTAATAAATTTAAATTTATTTACATTTTATGGCCTTTGTTTACCTGTTCTCCCTCCTGTAAACACATCAATTGACAATATAGTTTCTACAATGTAGTAGAATCTTTTCTATGAAAACATTTGCCACAATAAATCTACATGTTTTAAAAAGAGTACTGTACTACAAAACTCTATTTTGATACTAATCACTTTGGTTCTTCCAGATGGAATATTTGTTCTCCGTTACATGCCAGATTCTACATTGATTTTACTAGTATTTTTGCCACCATCCAAAATGTTTCTTATGTTTCACTCAGTGTAGTAACTTTTTTCCATGACTTCATGCGTATTTTCATCTCTCTTGACAGCATGGTTTATTTGCCATCTCAGTTTGTTCTCAGAGCGAAAGGAGCATGACAGGGTTTAGCACTCTGGTGCTTCCGATTGGTTTATTTATTTAAAACATTTCTACCCCTCCTTAAGAGAAAGGCTGTGTACATGTACATGCTCAGAGCTTTCTAGTCAGAAGCTTCAGTTAGCATCAGACAAACAAGAACAAACCTCCAAAATAAATAAATAAATAAATAAATAAATAAATAAATAAATAAATAAATAAATAAATAAATAAATAGAGAGATGTAAGAATTCATGGTTACAGGAAGCGATTGATTTCAGTTATTTTTTTTTTCCAAAGAGGGGGCTACCAAGGGGGCCAATAATTTTGGCCAGTGCATTTTTGGGGTTCTGTGTGGGATTGTATCAAATTTGATTTTTTCTTCTCTGGTTTGTGTGTGTGTGTGTGTGTTGTTCCAACGCAAAGTAAAGAAATGAACATGTGAGTACCAAAAGATTTGCAACTGCAACAATTTTCTGAGAGAAGGATTGCATTTTCTGACAGAATTGCAAGGGTGCCAATATTTTTGTCCATGACTGTAGGCACCAAGCAGTCAAAAATTGACTTCTTTAATATCTACATAGTCCTTTTAAAAACCAGAATTCCAGTGGGAAAGCTGGTTGATCATTACTGCGATTCAAGTAGATGGTGAGCTGAAGACGTAAAGCCTTTCCCCTGTCCATTTTTATACCCCTGTACATGTCTTTGTCTCTTTCTCAATTTTTGTAAACAGAAAACAAATGTGATCTTTTCTACCAATGGATGTGCCCCAGTCCCTTCACCATGTTCATTACCACTTTCTGCCCCCTTTACAGCTCTACAATATCTGTTTTCAGATATGGTGACCAGAAGACAATTTTCTAAACCTAGTTGCACCACAGATTTATATAACGACAACATGGGCTTTTAAAAAATGTTTTTTTTCTAACTGTGACCATTGTAGAATTTGACTATTTTAGAGCATCCATATACTGAGTCAACATTTTAATTGAGCTATCTACCATAATCTCAAGACCTTTCTTGGTCATTCCAGCTCATATTACATTCATGTCTGTACAAGTGTATTGGAAGTTGGATTTGTTTGTGGCAACTTTTCATTTTGACTTCTCAGTATGTCCTCTTTATTTTAAGTCCTCTTTCTAATGATGGATAGTCACAAAGATGAGACGCAACAATTTCTCATTTGCTGACTTTTGAAGGAAACAAGAAAACAAGCCAGCAAGCAGACCTGTCCTCCTTTACCTCTAGTATGACCACTGAAATCCCTCCTTCAAGCTAATTAATTTTTTTTTCAAAAAATGGTCCGTAAATGCTAAAGTTGTCATTAGCCAGTTTTTCCAAGGCTACAATATACATCTGTATCATGGTACATTCATAAAAACTCTTTTGGATTAATTAAAATTTGTACCTTTGATTTCTCTCAAGATTATTCAACAAGCTTTAACAGACAGCTTCTTCACTTGCATTTGTTGAGCGAGTATAATCACTTGATTTGTGTTGTGAGTAACTGTATTTAATATAACTTCATGCATTTTATACCTTAGTTGTCACCACCAACTGAAAGTTCTGCCTCTTTGAGGCTTCTTATAAAATTTCAAATTAAGCACTCATACATGGTCATGAAACCCTATTACCAGTTAATTGGAGGGTTATGAAGCTGATTTTTCTTTTTCATTAGAAGGTCCATAACAGTGATGAAATTGCATTGCCAAGATGTAAGATTTTAATGTTTTCTTCAGTGTTCTGTTCTGTATATATGGTACTATATTGTTATACATTACATTTCCCCTGCAGGGCTGAGTTTCTGGGCTCATAAAATAGAATTAAATTAATTGTTTTCAGTTGCCTCATGGCATTTGCTCCAAAATTATTATTAATATAAGCCCATATCCATAGCTTGGCATTTCTAGGTTAGAAGGAGTGCACTGAGGTAAGAAAAAACATATACAACAAAGTCTTCTTAGAATTTTCCAAATTCCCTATAGGAAACCCAGATCTGAAAGACAAATAGCAGGGTCTTTATAAAGAACTAGTAGACAGACGTGATCATTAGTTTAAAATTTCTCTCTCTGCACTACAGGTAGTACATTAGTTAAAGTAATGAAAACCCATAAACTATTCAAGTAATATATACACCACGAACTCAGACCTGGACTGTGACAGAGACAGGAATGTTTCCTTACTGTGTTTTGACATCCATCTGATTTGTAGCCAATTACATAAGGTATAAAATGGCTGTTAATCAGGAAAATGCCATATATTACCACCAAAATAGTCCTTACAGAGCAAAATATCTGATGGCAGCTATTGAAATGGAGATTTACTCATCTCTCTCTCTCTCTCTCTCTCTCTCTCTGGGGTTAGAAGTTTGGATGGGGAACTTTGAGAGAAATGGGTTTGGCTGCTAGCATTCTGCAAATTTTAGTTTCTTGCCTATGAATGACTAAGTGATTTTTTCCCCTGGGCCTTGTTCTGTGTCACAGTGAGGGAGGGATTCTTTGTCAGTACACAACATTTAAAGCAAGACAGATGGAAAGAAAAATATCCATTCAAAATATTCTGTATATGGAACCATTTTTATTTAACTGTACGGCACTTGTCTAAAGAACGTTAACTGTAAAATCATGGACCAGAAATCCTATGGCATTTATTAGTGGCCATTCAAATATGGCTCATTGCATATTAACAACTAATAACATAATTAGAATAGTTTTTAAAGAAGCTAGTTAAAACGTTTCATTTCAAATCTGCTGGTACATTCCAATTGTCTGACATGGTGTTTTCTTGCAAAGTACCTCAAGATCACAATTATTCTACTAATGACAGAACCTCGTTATCTATTTGGCTTATAAATGAATCTTATTTTAAACATTTGCTAGCATTCATATCATTACCATCTTCTTGCCCTTCTAAATATTCTACTTTTGTCTACTTCTGCAGTCCTGTATTTGCATGTATTGGGCGTAAGTCCTATTCAAGAATTGCACCTTTAGTGTATATAAGCTGGCAGTTTGAAATGGAAACCCATCAGGCTCTGTATGATGCAACAGTCTATATGAACTTATTTGAATAAAATTTCAGGTCAATAGAAAATAATGTAAAAAATCTTCAGATATTATTCTGTTATTTTACTCTTAATTTCATTGTAATAATGCATTTGTTTTATTTGAGAGCTGGTTCAGGCCATATCTATAGGCATTATTATATATATATATTTTTAAAATGCTATCTCAGATATATTGTGAAAGGGAATGGGCATAT